CAAAATAAAGTATAAAGAAAAAGAGATGGAGGGAGCATCTTTTCTTCTCCTAAAAGACATTGGAGGCATATATAATACTTTACTTATATTTCATATTTGATTGGCCTGAACTCGGTGGCATGATGACACTTCACTAGCCGAAAGCAGGATAATGTAGCCTATTCTTGTGGTTATCTGCCCTTTTAACCACCAAGGGTTCTGTCACTGTGATGAAGGAGAGAACAAATATTGGAAAATAGCAGGTGTAATGAGTCTTTTTCTGTCCTGCCAGTCAGCTCTCAGATAATGACACAGAGACTTTTTTAATATTTATTTATTTATTATGTATACAATATTCTGTCTGTGTGTATGTCTGCAGGCTGGAAGAGGATTGGTTGTGAGCCACCATGTGGTTGCCGGGAATTGAACTCAGGACCTTTGGTAGAGCAAGCAATGCTCTTAACCACTGAGCCATCTCTCCAGCCCGACACAGAGACTTTTTATTAATTATGCAAATTTGGCCTATAGCATAGACTTGTTCCTAACTAGCTTTTATAACTTAAATTAATCCATTTATTTTAATCTATATTCTATTACATAGTGTATATCTGTATTCCATCTTGCACTTCATGTATCTTCTTTGTGTCTCCTGGCATCTCCTGCATGCACAGATCCTCTTCCTCTTCCTTTTTCTCCCCCAAAATCTCACCTATACCTCCTGCCTAGCTATAGGTTGTTCACCTTTTTACTACATCAATCATAGAAATATATCTTTACACAGTGTGCAAATATCCCACAGCAAGCAGGTTCTGTTGCCACTCTCTTCCATCCAACAATACCTCTAGACCATACTTTTCTTCTATCATCCTTCCTTCCAACCTCTTACTTAGGTGGTCCAATCTCATCTCAGAGTCAACAGTTCTAACACTGGCCTTGTCTTTTCCATTTGACATCTTTCCCGCATTTCTGTTTTCTACATTTAGTTTTTCACTGACACAAACTAGAAGCCACAAACAGCAAAACAAGTGAATTGTACGAGGTGCCTATTTCGTCATTGCCCTTCCTTGCACTATCTCTCAAACTCAGCCCTTCCTTTCCATTCCTATTATAACTCCCTCAGTTCATGCCCAGATGGCTACATTTGCCTCTTAAAGTTCTCTCTTGTTTCTTTACAGCATATCTGTTTCCTCTATTACCAAAGCTTCTCATTCTTTATATACATCATTACTATTTTAAATTACCCCAACACGTTATTTTAATCTTAATCCTCAAAACTTTATTAGATCTCTCTACCTATTAAATAAACTCAAATTAAAGATTTTCCCATATCTTAACCTAATTTTTTCCAGTACTCTCTCTCTCCCTCCCTCCCCCATCATGAAAATCTAGACTCAATTAGCATCAAAACTTGTGAACTTGAATTTAGAACCCAAAGACCTGAGACTCCTTTTCTTCCACTACCTAGAGAATCCTTCTTTCAATATGTTTTTCTAACAGCTATAGTTCAAAGTATTCTTTCTCTTTTTGAAATTTGACTGAAATTACCATTGATGGGTGTCATTCATTCACCTGACATTTCCTACTTCATACTACAAAGGAAAGTTATATACATGTGTATTATTACCCCAACTTGGTATTAATTCCCCTGAGGCTCAAACTTAGGGCCTCACATATGACATGCAAATTTCAACCCCTTTTCAAGACATTTTTGTGCCACAAGTGCTCTCCGAAATTGGATTTTGCTGAGATTCCTTCTGGTAATAGCATAATATTTGAGTCTCTGCAGCATGTAGAAAAATAAATATTGGAGTTTATTGGCAGAAATTTTCTTTCTTTAAAAACCGAAGTATTTTAAGGGCAGATTGAGATCCACCAAGTAGAGCACTTAAAAGCACCCAGTTGGGCTTTACTTGAATTATCCCATAAATCTGCTCTAAAGCGGGGGAGTCCAATATGGCCTCAGCATCACTGAGTTGTCACAGAGAAGGGCCATGCAATCTTTAAAATATACATACCAATTGGTCAAGATCAACACCAGGAATAATTCATATTAGTTTCACTCTGGCAGTTAACAAAGCGCTTCTGCTCACATTACACCGGTTGCTGCTCACTGAGGAGATTGGGGCCAATGTTACACTATTCTAGACTACAAAAGGTTTTGTAACTTTATTGAGCTTTCCCAGTTTGGAAGTAGATGCCCAGTCTGGAGCCTGTCTCGTGTGTTTTTCAGCTATGTGCTATCGTCTCAAAGCTACCTCTCCCAGAGCAGTTGTGTGCCTTTGAAAGCAGCAGAAAATTTATTTCACACCTATTCAAACTCTATGCTTTTTCTCAGCGAGCTCAAGGTTCTTGCAACCATATCAGCAGTGCAAAAAAGCTGCAGTATTTCCCCTGCAGCATCACCTAGCATTGCTCTTCCTGCTTGATTGCTCTTTGATAGCCCACCATCATTTCCTGAATGACTCCTGTGGGGAGTGGAACGTAGCTGAACACCGACACCACATTCAAATGCTTGTGGTGGCACAACTGCTTTACCACCAAGAAGTTCTCAGCATTAGCAAATGGCCTCCACATTTCCAGAAGATACTGATAGAGTTGTTGGGGTCCAGCTTCGACGGGTTCATATATTCAAAGATAGGAACATGTGGATCAGAAATGTCAGATGGAAAAAAACAGAGATTAAAAAGAAATATACAAAGATCCACAATAGAGTCTGGAGGGCAACCCAGTGAATACTGAATTCCCCGTGTTTATTTTTCATATGCTTTATATAATCCAATCCAAAGGGAGTGGAGGGGGAGAGAAGGCAAAAGACTACTTTACCATGATACAAAAACAAACAGAGTAACTACCTCTTCAATACCTGAAACATCAAGCATCTATATCCTGAGTTAAGTATTCTGTTGTTTAGGTAGGACATGCAGCAACCACACCATATGCCAAGCATCCTGTAGGTAGCCACACCCTGTTTCAAACCTCCTTGTCACGAAGGAGCAAGAATATAACTGAACTCTCTGACCTTTGGTCAAGGTGGAACAGATCCACATCCGTGGGCTCTGACATAGAACATAGCCAGTATTAGATATCCCGTATCTGGTTCATCTCATGCCTAACTTAAACCAGAAGACGAGAACGGCAGCTCATCCATAGGACCTCCATTCAAAAAAGCCTTGAAACATGTAAGCAATCTGAGACAGGGGTTGGCTATGGCATTTGCAGGACCCAGTGTAGAGAAAATTTGGGGCTCTCTGTTTGAAATGTGTTAAGCATTTGGAAGTCACACAGCACCAGAAAACAAGTTCAGAATCCTTTAAGCTTGGCCTCTGGCATGCTACACTTGAGACACAAGCTAGGATATTCCAGGTGCCCTCTGTGAACCCTACCAGCCCAGTGGGACAATTGATGTTTTGGATTTCTGCAAAGTGTGGCTGCTACAGACAGCATTAGCCTAACTTTATGTTTTCTTCCTGTCACCCGTTCCATTTGGCACCCATCATGTTTCCTCTTATATTCTGTGGGTTCCTCAGGGCTATAGCAGTATCCTATTATCCCTGTGCTCCTAACAGCATGGATGGGTGGTTAGCACTTAAAAAATGTTGGTAGGTAAGTGTCCCTACTTTCCTCCTCTCCCACCCTTACTTGCTGTAGTGCCCTGAAACATGTTGACTTGGCTTGCCCATCCCAACTAAGTTACCAGTATTTCCTCCTTAGGGCAAACCTTCCACTGACCCAAAAGGAAAGAGGTTCATCTTAGCAGTCCTGGGCTCCTGCAGTAGCTACTGAACTGAAGGGCAAAGGGGGCCAGAGTGAGAGCCCCACCATGCTGAGAAATCCTTTCATTTTAGTGACTTGCGTTCACAACAGACCCTCTGTATACCAAGCCCTGTGTCAGCTTTAGGGTTAACCTGAATCCACCTATGTGAGAAACATGAATTGACCTTTGGGGTCTGCACATAACCAGTTCACATCAAAACAGCCCAGCTAGTCATTCGTGATTCGTGACTGGTCAGTTCCCATGTCATAGACATTATCACATACTTCATTATCACATACTTCCCGGCCAATCTCAAACACTCCTGATCATTAAAGAAGCCACAGTAACAGGGCTGCTATATTAAAACATGTTACTACTGCTTTATAATAGATGCATAAATTCTGAAGACTAGGAGGCATTCAAGGGAAAAAGGGCAGAAACCTTCATTAGATCCAAGATATCAAGTGTGTCCCTTTTCTGATCCTTCTACCCAGTAGTAGAAGAGTTGGGGACAGTTCCTGGAGTATGTGAGTCACTGCTTTGTTTGTTTGCTTTTTGTTTTTTACTGTGGTCTTCAAAAATATGTTACATTTTTTTCTTTTATCCTTGGAAGATAAATGCAAAGAGTTCTTCCAGGTTCTGACAAAATTATTCCCTAAGTTGACGGTTTTGGGGGTATCTTTTCTGTTCACTTCTATCTTCCCAACCTCCATAGAGCATATGACCCACAATACCTGTTTAACTACTTAACAGGGGGAAGTATTAAAATTCGCTCTTGTGTTGGGCTCTTTGGAAGCAGCTTACCAAATAGGCTAAGTTCATTTCTTCATTCATCCATTTATGAATGAACACATGTATTCATTCAGGGACAGTTTTGTTTCAGACAACATTGCAAATGTTTAATTAAATTTTGCTTGTCATAGTATATTAAACATACCTAGAGTAAGCTGGCCAGTGGTGTTGTACGCCTTTAATTCCAGCACTTGAGAGGCAGAGACGGGTGGATCTCTCTGAGATTAAGGCCAGCCTGGGCTACATAGCTAGTTTAAGGACAGCCAGGACTACACACACACACACACACACACACACACAGTCTCGAAAAAAAAAAAAGAAGAAGAAGAAAAACATACCTAGAATGAAAGAAGACATCGTCAAGACACAGGATGAGCAAGTGTCTGAGTAAGTTCCTCAGTGATACTCAAGACAGAGAAGGAACACAAAGAGGTTCAACAGTCTGATGGTTACTGTTTTCTATTTATATCCTCAGGGTCTGAAGCAGCAGGAAGAGATGCAGATTCACACCTGGTGGATGGAATTCTTGGGGAGTCAGTTACTTTCTCCTTAAATATTCAAGAGCCACAGAATGTTAAGAACATTGCCTGGACTTCTAAATCATCCGTTGCTTTTGTCAAACCAAGACTCCAAGGAGAACCACCTGATGTTATTGTGACCCAGGCGGCTTATGAAGGACGAATAGATGTCATAAAACAGAACTATGACCTAATCATTAAAAACCTGAGAACGGAAGATGCAGGAACTTACAAAGCAGACATAAATATAGAGAATACCCCCACCATCACAAAACACTACCATCTTCATATTTACCGTAAGTTATGGGAGGACAAAGGGCGAAATTTCCTTTTGCTTTGGAGTTTCTGGCATAAAGCACACCATATTTCTGAGAATGGTTCCCTAACTCTTTTCATACAACTGTATAAGCATGTCAGCACTTCCAAAGGTCTAACTTTAGTGCTAGACAGCACAGACTTCAGCTATATTGTTTTTCCAGCAGAATTTGTCCTTGGATCTTCATTTCCCTTTCTTATAAAATGCCAACAATCATATTATTTAATTTGCAAGAGTTATTATAATAATCTAGTAAGATGCCACCTGCAAAGTGGTCTTTTAAAAGCTTCTTGTTTCAAAATAATTGCAGGATGCATGGGAAAGTGCAAAGAACCACAAAAGGAGGTGCTGTGTGTCCTTCACTTCCCCTGTTCTGTTCCTCTAGATCCAACTCTCAGTCTCATCTCCTGTGCTATGGGACCTCTGGGGTGACCTCTCTCCACTGTCTCCCCTTGGAGATGCAATAAGCAGATGCTGGTTGAACTCTCCTCCTGTACATGTTAATACTTACAAAACTGCAGCTGGGTGTGCAAGCGCAAAACAGGAAATTGATGTTAGTGTGGTCTGCAGAGCTTACTTAGGAGGCTCCAGCTTGTATCAGCACTTAGTCAGGAATGGAATCCCTTGTAGTCCTATAGAATTTAATCATATGTGTAGGTATCACAATCAAGGCAGTTAATTCAGTGTAGCATCCCAAGATTGCCTTGTCTCAGCTCAGAAGAGTGGAGAACCGTCAGCCCTGACTCTGGTTTTCTCTGCCGAGCAGCTTGTACAGATAGCATCTCTGTTCCTACTGAGAAAGTGAAATTCAGACTGTGGTTTTCACCACTATGTCTACACCAATACCCACCACACACACACACTCACACGCACGTGCGCACACACGCGGGCACACACACACACACACACACACACACACACACACAAAGTCTCTCTGAAAATAGGTAAATATGGTCTTTTTCATGGGCTTCAGCTATGTTGGAATAGTCAAGGCCCGCTGTGGTAGGGTTGCCTGGCTACAGTGGAGTCAGATTGCCCTGCCTGTTATTGACTGTGTTTTCATGCTGGTGTCTAGGTATCTAGGTGATAGGGATGATTATAGGTCTAGGTGCTGATCTAGGGATTTGTCTTTGTTGGATGGGTGTTTTGCTCCTTAGCTTCTGTTTCCTTTCTGAATTTTCAGAGAGTGTGATGGATATGTGTTGTCTAGTAGAAAATTTTCTTTGGACCTGATAGTTGTGGCTACTGAACGTTTCAGGTAAAATGTGTTTCTGGGTATTGGGAGCTGACACTTAGGGCCTGGAATGGGATAGGGATCTGAAGGGGTCCACAGGAAAGAGGAAGGGAGATTGTTCAACCAGCACCTGCTTATTTCATCTCCTTGGAATCGGGGGAGACAGTGGAGAGGGGTCACAGCAGAGGGTCTGCTATAACACTGGGGATATAACTGGGGGGGGGGGGCTGGATCTAGGTGAACAGAGGAGAGGGGAAGATCTACAGACAGCCTATGTGCTTCCCTGGCAGAAGCGGTCTATGGATTAGCAGGGAGTGCCTGCTGGAGTTTGGAGCTAGGATAAAGCAACAGGTGGGGAGAGGGAGGATGGGAGGAAAGAACTGTGGGCTCCACAGAGATGTGGGTGGTGGGAGGTTAGAAGGAAGGCTGCAGCAGGTGTTCTGCTGCAGAGCTAGCGATGAGACTGGGGCATTGGGTTTGGAGGAGAGGGGGTACTGGTGAAGGTCTTCAGTTGGCTTACCTGTTTCCCTGGCCTGCTCAACTGGTGTGTTTGCAGGGAATGCCTGCTGGTGTTTTCTGGAACTCCTGTTGGAGACTGGGATAGTGGGATGAATTGGGGAAAGGAAGGCTGGAGGAGAAGATAGCAGTCCTCAAAGAAAAAAATTAATAAATCCCTTAAAGAAATCCATGAAATCACAAACAGTGGAAAAAACAAATAAAACTCTTCAAGACCTGAACATAAGGGTACCCATGTTTGTAAAGAAACACTACTACAGCTTAAATCACATATTGACCCTCACACATTGATAATGGGAAACCTCAATACCCAACCCTCACTAATAGATGGGTCATCCAGACAAAAACTAATCAGAGAAATGCTGGAGCTACCTGATGCTATAAACCAAAGGGATCTAACAGATATTTACAGAACATTTCACCCAAACACAAAAGAATATACCTTTCTTCTCTGCACCTCATGGAACATTGTCCAAAACTGAGCATGTACTCAGACACAAAGAAAGTCCCAATAGATACAAGAAAATTAAAATAACCCCATGCAGCCTATCAGGCCAGCACAGATTACAGCTGGTTATCAACAGCAACAGAAAGCTTACAAACTCGTGAAAGCTGAACAACTCTCTATTGAATGGGAAATGGGTTAAGACAGAAATTAAAGATACTCTAGAATTTAAAGAAAATGAATACACACTAAAATGAGATTTTTATATCTAGTTTTATGAGTATAACATCCTTTATTGGGAGATGATATTCAGTAACATGAAGATGGGAATCTCCCTGATAGAAATTGAGTCTTCACAGTCAGAACTATTCTAGAACTACTGAATTCTCTGTGACATCCTGTGCGCATGAGCTGGAGAACATTGTGCTAAGTTTTTACTAACATCACTATTTCAGCACAAATATTTTGGGAAAGTTAATGAAAAAAATGAAATGTTTGTTGAAATAAAGAGCGGCGGGGCTGCGTCCCCAACACCCCAGCCGCTTGGCTAGCTCACGCCCGAAATAACAACACACAAACTGTATTCATTTAAAGAACTGCTTGGCCCCTGAACTCTAGCCCTTACAGGCTAATTCTCGCACCTGGACTAGCCCATTTCTAATGATTCTAGCCTCCATCCATCGTTGCGTCTACCCAGGAGAGCTGAGCATGGCGTCTCTCTGGGAGTAGAGCAGAGTCTGACTTCACTTCCTCTTCCGCCCAGAATTCTATTCTGTTTACTCCTCCCATCTATG